ATGAGCGGGGCTCTCCCAGACCCTGCCGGGGGGCCCGCCCGCCCTGCACAGACAGTCCTGGGTCAGTCCCTGCTGGGAGGGGCTGAGGGTGCCATGTGCCCCAAGCCCCCCGCCTGGGCTCTGCTTGCAGAAGTTCACCTGGAGCTGGGGGACGAGCTTGCCCAGGGCAGGCTGCCCCCGGGGGGGTCGGCTTGCAGGCCCCTGCCCCACCATGGCCTGGCCCCTCGACCTAGGCCCAGTCCCTGCGTGGAGGTGAGGGGCCAGGCAGGCCCCTGAGCAGCGCTGGAGGGGAGATGAACAAACCACTGCCTGGCCCCCACTCCTCCTCTCTCCGGGAGAGCCACCAAGGGCGCAGAAGTGGGGGAGCCCCCGTCCCCAGCTCAGGGGGCCTTGCAGCATGCCAGGCCCAGGGGGCTGGCCAGCCCCACAGCGCTGGGGCCTCCAAGACCCAGCAGCAGAAGGGGACAGGCAGCCAGCACAGCCCTCCCCTCCTGCGACCCACGCTCAGGGCCTGGCCAAGGGCACCGCGCCAGGGGATGTGGGGGTGGGCGGCTCAGAGCGGGGCCTTTGAACTGCTGGTCGGGGCAGTTCCCATTTCACAGCTCGGGTGCCCATTGGCCCCTCTTCCCCGGGGCCTGGCCTGGGGAAGCGGACGAGCCCGGGGTGCTGGATGTAGTGCAGGGAGCCAAGGGCCGTTTCTGCTCCATGTGACATGGCAAAGCCAGGGCTTGGCTGGGCTGTCCCAGAGCTGCCCCGGGGCTCGGGGGCTGGTCTTCCGACTCTCCTGCAGCCCAGCAGCAGGAGCCTTGGGTGGATGCATCAGCCAGGCCCAGTTCAGCCATGTGGTCCACATGTGGCAGGGAGCTGCAGCACAGCTCCCACCCAGGGCTGCAGGCCCGAGTCCTGTCACCTCCTGGTCCTACTTTTGGGAGGGCAGCCTGGGCACTGCCTGGCCTGCCAGCTGCTGCCAGGGTTGTCCTCACTGCGCTAGCAGAATCCCACCGCAGGCACCAGCTGCCACCCTGCAAGCAGCCATGCTGGGCGGAGTCTGGGCTGCGCAGGTGGGGGCGCACTCACCTTGCCCCCCCGGGTTCTGGAGTCAGTTTCACAGCAAACCTGTAACCTGCGGCTCTGGCTTCCTCACACTGGAAAGCCCAGCTGCTCTGGGAGGCGCTGTAGGGGCCTGTCTCACCGCGGGGTGCTGCCCAGCTCAGCCCCACACCGGGGCTTGGGCTGTCTGGACAGATCTCTGCCCAGAAACTGCCCTCAGCCCAGGGGCCTGGCCAGAGCAGTGGTGCCCACCTCTGTTCCCAGCCCCTCTGCCCCCTTGGCTCCTCGGCCCAGCAAGGGGCGGGTCTGGCCCAGCAGGCTCCCTGGGCACTGCTTTGGCCCTGATCCCATTCTTGGCTGGGGAAAAACAGGCTTCTGTGCATGCCTGGGCCCACCCATCCAGAGGGGCCCCAGACCCCAAACCTTCCTGCCCCCCAGCCCAGCCAGCGCAGGGAGCCGGGTGAGCAGTATCCAGAGACAGCCCCTCCCTGCCCCCCACAGGGCTCCCCCTGCACAGCCGCTGCCTGCAGTGGGCAGCAGGGCGTGTGCCCCCAGAGGCACCTGAAGGCTGGGGAGAGGCAAGGGGGGCACATTGGGGGCATGGAGATGCGGGCTGGGATTGCATGGGGCAGGCCCAGGAGGAAGGGCATCAGCAGAGCCAGGCAGCTGGTTTCATCCCACCCCCCTGCCCGGGCAGCCCAGGGCACCGGCCCCTCCCACCCGTCTCTCTCTCTCTCTCTCACTCTTTCTAGTTCTGTTTTAAAAATTAACTTTTATGTTCACTCAGAGCTAAGAAACACATTACAGAAAAGACCAAACCAATTTTTCTCTTGTGTTTTTGCAACTGTTTTCTTCCTTTTTAAAAGGTTAATGTTTAAAATAAAGAAGTGGGGGGGGGG